AAAAAAAATAAAGATGTTAACGGTTGGAAACATAAAAGGAGTGACCATCATAATGCATAAAGTAAAAATGATAAAAAGATGTCTCTCCTTGACGTTACATAGGGAATGTGGGATCATCATAAATCACTCTATTCTTTGTCTCTCTTTCCAGCAAATGTTTGGTCTTTTTCATCTCTCTTTCACTTTCCAGTTTCCAGTTGATTCAATAATCATTTTATAAAAAAGATTCTGAATAAAAATTTCACTCGCTCTTCTATTATTTGCTTAGTGCATGCATTTCTCAGTAAACCCTTCTCTTATTTTTTTTCGTTTCGCTTTTCCAGCCTTTTTTCTTGGTAGATTACATTATTTGATTGCGATAACTAACCTTTAATCACCACTATTAATTGATTAGCAACGCTCCAAAACCAGCTGAACCTTTTTTCAACGTTTACACACTCTTTTCTCTCTTCATCCGAGTCACTGTTTTCACACTCTCATCTCTCTCTCTCTCTCCAATCTCTGCCGCAATCAACTCTTCGATTTTCTCAAGGAATTGTAGATCTCTCTCCTTCTTCCGGAATTCCACATTTTTCTTCTCTGTTCCTCGAATCTATGGTGGTTTACCTTGCATTCCTGGTTGCTTGTTCCTGCTTCTTCGGTGGCGAAGTGGGTGCTCTGAACGACGAAGGGTATGCCCTTCTAACTTTCAAACAATCTGTTCTCAGAGACCCGTTTGGGTCTTTAAGTAATTGGAACTCCTCCGACCCGAATCCTTGTTCTTGGAACGGAGTTACATGCGACGAACAAAGGGTTGTGTCTGTGAGCATCCCCAGGAAGAAACTCGTAGGTTTTCTTCCTTCGTCCCTGGGTTTACTCCTTTATCTTCGCCATCTGAATTTGAGGAGTAATGATCTTAATGGGAGCTTTCCCGTTGAGCTGTTTGAGGCTCGAAGGCTGCAAAGTCTGGTGCTTTATGGAAATTCGTTATCTGGGTCGATTCCAAATGAGATTGGGAAGCTCAATTCCCTGCAAAGCTTAGACTTGTCGCGTAATTTCTTGAATGGATCGATCCCAGAGTCGATTTTACAGTGTAAGAGGCTTAGGCACTTTGATTTGAGCCGGAATGCTCTCACCGGTGCTCTTCCCGATGGGTTTGGTCATGCTTTGGCTTCTTTAGGGAAGCTTGACCTCTCATTCAATCAGTTCAATGGCCTAATTCCTAGTGATTTGGGCAACTTGACGAATCTGGAGGGAACTCTTGATTTGTCTCATAACTCATTTAGTGGCTCCATCCCGGCTAGTCTGGGAAATTTGCCTGAGAAAGTGTACATTGATCTTGCTTACAACAATCTGAGTGGACCAATCCCTCAAACTGGTGCTCTGGTAAACAGAGGACCAACTGCATTCATGGGGAACCCGAGGTTATGTGGCCCGCCATTGAAGTACCCTTGCTTGCCAAACTCGGGAAGTTCTCCATCTTCTTATCCTTTTCGTCCCCCAAACCACGATCATGGAGGTTTAGATGATAATGGTGAAGGGTCTAAGAAAGGAAGAGGTCTAAGTAAGGGTGCCATTGTCGCAATTGTGGTTTGTGATGTCATTGGTATCTGCCTTGTGGGATTGCTTTTCTCTTATTGTTACTCGAAGATCAGTTCGAGCTGTAATAATGTGGATGAGAAAGGCAAGGAAGGTAAAGAAGGTTCCTTCTGTTTCAGAGTAGAAGGATCAGAGACCCCTTCGGAAAATCTGGAGCTACATGATCTTGTTCTGTTGGATAAACATGTAGCTTTCGATCTGGACGAGTTGCTCAAGGCCTCGGCTTTTGTTCTTGGGAAGA